AAAAAAAAGAGAGAAGAGGGGCTGGAGGGAGAGAGGGACAGAGGGAGGGAGGGAGGGGGAAGAGGAGGACAAAGATGAGGATGAAGACAGACAAAAGTAGAGCTTTTAGCTCTCTTGAAGACTAAGTTTCTAACTGAAGTTTTTTACCATTACCCTCCACTCCCAAAAGAATCCATAGAGCTCAATACTAAGGAAGGCTGAGGTTACATATCAAAGCCTCACAACTCTCCTGCAAGTCTAGCAGAAACCTAGCCCAACTTTCCTCAAGGCAAAGAAAAAACTGACCCATGAAATGGTGGTCCACAGACCTGGGATAGCAGAAACAATGTTCAAGCAACTGGAACCCTTAAAGCCCCTAACAGTAACCCTGTTCACAAGAGCCTGAACGTTCACAGAGCCTATGGTCAGTATTTGCTAGACCTATCTTCACCGCTCTCTAAGGACCATGGTCTGCAGTAGAAAGGTAAAAATCAAATGTTAGGAAATTAGAACTACCAGATTATCTAGCTATATCACTCCTGGGTACATACCCCAATGGACTTTATATCTTACTACAGAAACATTATGCTGAGTGAGGTCACAAAGTCTCCAAAAGACAAACCTAGCATGTTCTTTCTCATATGTTTCGTGTGCTTAGCACGGAGTACATGGAGAAGCCAGGAAACTAGAAATAGGCCATTGGGAGAGGATACACTAAGGGAGGAAGGATGGCAGAATATAAGTGAAATGAAAGTACAGAAGGGCAAGAAGGTTCAAGCAGGGAGTGGCGTGATGAGAACAGAGAAATGAAGGGGAAGGGGAAGGGTTAACCAAAATAAAATGTGTGTGAAGAAGCTACATGGGAACCTATGACCTTGCTACCCATGTAAAAATATAAGATAGTAGAACACATAGCAGATGGAGGAACTGGAGGGGAAGTACTGGGAGTTAGATCAGGGATAGAGTGGGGAAGCAGGGGAAAGAGAGGTAGTTACCAAAACTAAGGATTATGAAGAAACCTTATGAAACCTTATTTTGAAAACTAATTAAAATATAATTTTTTAAATGAGTTTGAACAGAGGAACCCTGCATAGATGAATAATGCTGCTCCCAGAAGACATAGGTTATTAATGAAAAGCTCAGTGCCAGGCAAAGGATACATACCTATGGTCAGGGAGGTCCCAGAGGCACCCAAAACAATACAAGCTATTGCTATTGCTCGTGGCTGCCTACCATAACTAGACAGTAAGACTCTACTGCTGAAGACACCACACACTTTGGTTGCAAGCCTTAGAGAAATCAATCTTGAGCTGAACAGGAAACTCTCCCTGCTGGTTAATTTTCATAGTGCTAGAGTGTGCTATGCAAACTGCTGGGGAAGAAGCATTATCAAGGGTCTTATCCAGCGCTGGACCCTACATGCTAAAATGCTAATCTCCCAGTCAAGATGTGCCTGTTGGTGCAATAGTGGCAAGACTATAGGATAACCAAACACTCTCTTGGTAAGATTTAAGGTCTGCTCCATAGAAGGGAATTCATGACTGTGAACATAGTCAAAACCCACAGCTACAGAGGTCACAGGCCCTAGGGGATAAACTACTGATTTTTTTTTTTTTTAATGGTCATGTCAAACTGTCTTTGATACTGATGCTTATAT